AAAATAATTTCTGATGTTTAAGTCACCCAACCTGTGGCGTTTTGTATGGCAATCAGCACAGACTAATGCAGGAAGGAAGGGAGGGACAGAGGGAGGGAGGGAGGGAGGAAGGGAGGGAGGAGGGAGGGAGGGAGGGTATCCAGATTGGGAAGGAAGAAGTAAAATGATCTTTACCCATGGATGATATGATCCAACTTCAAAAGATTTTGGGATATGAAAGCAATATAAAAAACCAACTGGATTTCTATGTTCTTACAACTCAAGAATTAAATGATTCCATTCATAACAGCATTAATTTCATGAGGTCTAAGACTTGTACATGACAACTACAAAACTTACTGAAGGATATTACAGACGACCCAAATTAAAGTACAGACATTCCATGTTTCTGGCTTAACAGCTTCAAAATTGACAGTATGGCAATTCTCCCCAAAACTGATCTATAGATTCGACACAAGCCTTATGAAAATCTCCCATAAGTTTGGTTTTTGTTTTTTGGAGGTTTTTTTGGGTAGAAATTGGCAAGTTGATCCCAAAATTATATGGAAATGTGGGGGACCCAAAATAGTTTAATAATTTTGAAAAAGAAGTTAAAGGACTTACACAACCCAGTTTCAAAACTGCCACTAAAGTTCTAGCAATCAAGGTGATGTGGGGCTGGTATAAGGATAGACATCTAAGTCAATGGAATATAACAGAGACTAGAAATAAACTCCTGCATTTATGGTTAACTGATTCTTGACAAAGGTGCCAAGGCAATTCGATGGGGGGTGAAGATGGGGGGATAGTTCATCTTTTTGAAAAGTGGTGCTAGAGCAGCGCCTGCATGGCTTGGTTAAGTGTCCAGCTCTTGGTTTAGGCTTAGGTCATGATCTTGGGGTCATGGGATAGAGTCCATCCTGAGCTCTGTGCTGAGCAAGGAGTCTGCTTGAGATTCTCTCTTTCTCCCCTGGCCCTTCCCATTTGTGCACGCTCTCCCCGCACCACCACCCCCCCTCTAAAATAAATAAACAAATCTTTTTTTTTTTTTAAAGTGGTGCTATCCTCATGCAAAAAAAAAAAAAAAATTAGATCCCTACCTTGCATTACACACACACAATTGGTCAAAATTGTTCAAAGGCCTAAAATGTAAGTTAACTCTAAATCTGCTAGAAGAAGGCATAGAAGAAAATCTCTGTGACCATGAATTAGGCAGAGCTCCTAGCTATGTCATCAAAAGCATGATCAATTAGACTAAAATGCCGATAAATTGGAATTCATCAAAACTAAAAGCCTGTACACTTACAGAGTTTTTCTTTACACAAGAAAGTAAAGAGACAAGCCACAGATAAAGAGGAAATATTTGCAAATCATAGTTCTGATTAAGAAACTATATCCAGGGCGCCTGGGTGGCTCAGTGGGTTAAAGCCTCTGCCTTTGGCTCAGATCATGATCTCAGGGTCCTGGGATCGAGTCCCGCATCGGGCTCTCTGCTCAGCAGGGAGCCTGCTTCCTCCTCTCTCTCTCTCTGCCTGCCTCTCTGCCTACTTGTGATCTCCCTCTGTCAAATAAATAAATAAAATATTAAAAAAAAAGAAACTATATCCAGAATAAAGAACTCTTGCAACTCAACAAGAAGACAACCTGATTTTATTTTATTTTATTTTTAAGATTTTATTTATTTGACACACAGAGAGAAATCACAAGCAGGCAGAGAGGCAGGCAGAGAGAGAGAGAGAGGAGGAAACAGGCTCCCTGCTCAGCAGAGCCCGATATGGGGCTCGATCCCAGGACCCTGAGATCATGACCCGAGCCGAAGGCAGAGGCTTTAACCCACTGAGCCACCCAGGCGCCCCGACAACCTGATTTTAAAGTGCATGTAAATATATGAAGTTACCAGAGATAAATCATCAATAAATATATAGAGATATCCAAAATCTTAAATGATTATAACATCCAAATTAAAACCATAATCAGGTACTACACACACATACTAGAATGGCTTCTGATCAAAAAGACTGGCAATAACAAGAGTTAGTGAGGATGTGGAGAGACCAAATCCCTCACAGGCTACGTTCTGCGGTGTAAAATGGTGCAACTTCATTGTAAAACTGCTAAAAAATTCCTTAAATTTACCACATGACTCAGCAATTCTACATCTGGGTTTCTACCCAAGGGAAATGAAAACATTTTCATGTAATGATCTGTCTGCCAATGTTCATAGCAGTGATATTCATAATAGTCTCAAACTAGAAACAATACAAATTTCACCACGTGGGGAATGAGTAAATTAAAAACGTGATACATTAAATTAATGGAATAGTATTCAGCAGTTTTAAAAAGGAACTATCAGCATGCTCTGCAACATGGACAAACCTCAGAAAGGGGATGCTCAGTGAAGGAAGCCAGACACAAAAGATCCCATATTGTCTGATTCTGTTTATATAAAATGTCTAGAAATGGCAAATTAGAGACAAAAAACAGATCAATGGTTACCTGGGGCTGGAGGTGGGAGCAGGGATTGACATCAAACAGGCATAAGGAAAAACTTTATGGGAATGGAAATGTTCTAAAACTGGATTGTGATGGTTGTACAACTCCATAAATTTACTTAAAAATTATTTATATATACTTACAATGATTACATTTTATAGTAGGTAAATTCCATCTCAGAGTAAGGATAGAAAAAATTAAATTATGGTTGGGTTTCAATGATTGATTATGGTATGGATAAGCTAGCTAAGGCCATTTGAAATCACCAGTAACTGATAGAAACAATCTTTTTAAAAATCTGGAATGATGTTTCCAGGTGGTTTCAACCGAATATAAGTGATATGAAGATATTAAGTAAATTGTGTAAACATATTATAAATTTTATAGCCATGTTATCATAAAATCTTCAATATCCTTTGTTAAATGACATTAACAAAACAGTATTAACCCATAAATGAATGTGATGTAGTCATGTGATGTAGTACTTTGTGTATGTGCACATGTATGTACATATGTAAGTGCACTCAGATGGTAGAATAATGGGGTAAGGGAGGACTGCTAATATTCTCAGTTGTTTGACTTTTTTATAGGCCTATCTTCAGTCTTGTTTCATAATTTATAAGGAATTTAAGGAAAATAACAATCGGAACATATAGTCCATATAATACTTTACAGAATATGGCCAAGGATGTAAACAGAGGAAAATGAGTAGGCTTTCTTATTAAACAAGAAAAAATAAAAATGAAAGAAATAGTCCACACAAGAAACTAGGAAGGTAAGGGCACCTGGGTGGCTCAGTGGGTTAAGCTGTTGCCTTCAGCTCAGGTCATGATCTCAGGGTCCTGGGATCGAGCCCCGCATCGGGCTCTCTGCACAGCGGGGAGCCTGCTTCCCTCTCTCTCTGCCTGCCTTTCTGCCTACTCGTGATCTCTCTCTGTCAAATAAATAAATAAAATCTTAAAAAAAAAAAAAGAAGAAGAAGCTAGGAAGGTGTACCACTGTGGAAGACAGTATGGAAATGCCTCAAAAAATAAAAATAGAACTACCATATGATCTTGGGTATTTACTCAAAGGAAATAAAACCCTACTTTGAAAAGATAAATGCACCTCTATGTTTGTTGCAGCATTATTTACAACACCCAAGATATGAAAGCAACTCAAGTGTCCATCAACTGATGAGTGGATAAAGAAGACATGGTAGGGACGCCTGGGTGGCTCAGTGGGTTAAGCTGCTGCCTTCGGCTCGGGTCATGATCCCAGCATCCTGGGATCGAGTCCCACATTGGGCTCCCTGCTCAGCGGGGAGCCTGCTTCTCCCTCTGCCTCTGCCTGCCACTCTGTCTGCCTGTGCTCACTCTCTCTGACAAATAAATAAAATCGTTAAAAAAAAAAAAGACATGGTATATATACAATGGAATATGACTCAGCCATAAAAAAGAATGAGACCTTGCCATTTGCAATGACATGGATGGACCTAGAGGGTGTTACACTAAGTGAAATAAGTCAGAGAAAGACAAATACCACGTGATTTCACTTATATGTAGAATCTAAAAGGTAAAATGAGCAAACACACAAAAATCTCTTAAATACAGAGAACTTATAGTTGCCAAAGGGGAAGTGGGTGGGGGGATGGGTGAAATAGATAAAGGGCATTAAGAGGTACAAACCTCCAGTTACAAAATAAGTCGCAGAGACTCAAAGTACAGCATCGAGAATATGGTCAACAATACTGTACCAATGTTGTACAGTGACAGATGGTGACTACACTTATTGTGATAAGCACTGAGTACAGTCCAGTCACTATGTTACACACCAGAAGCTAATATAACATTGTATGCCAATTATACTTCATTAATAAAAAAAAATTTAAAGAAGTTAGAAATAGGAGAAAGATAAAGTTTTAAAACATTATAAAAAAATAAAAACTGAAGTTAATTAGAAAATAGAAAAAATAAAAAAGAAGACTGATAGCTCCAAGAACTGGTTCTTCCGTAAAAACCTGCACACTAATGGGGAAAAGCCTCTTCACTGGTTTTCATAAACAATATACACTCTCAAAGCTTCTGACTTTCTTTTCCCTAGAGATTGGGGTGGGGGTGCTTCACAGAGCCCCTGGGTGGACAACTTCAAGTCCTTGGTTTTTGGTTGGTGTGGAGTGAGCAAGGCGCTCTCTTGCCATTCAGGCCACAGAGCACCCAGCCTTCTTACACCTTCCCAGCTTCTCAGCTCCTATTCTGTTCCCCTTACACATTAAAGAACACACACACCCCAGTTCTTCCTTTGAGATGAACTCGGAGGCCAAGGTAAGAGCATCTTCTCCCTTGCAGGGAGGATGGGGACCTGAGGACTGGGAGTGCACACTTCTGACCTGGTTCAGCCCTGCAGCCTGCACCCCCTGCCCACCCTTCCCAGGATCAAGGGAGATAAAGAAACTGGTCATGGAGCCTGTATGTCCCCACAGGTGACTGGACAGCCCCAAGGTGAGCAGAGGCCTGGGACCCCTGACCTCGGGAGGAGAACACGCCCACCTGGATGAGGCTGGGCTCCTGGCCTTTGCTCTTGAGCAAGACGGTGTTCCGCCACCGCAGATACTTGTCCCTGTGGGCCTGGATCTCGTAAGCCAGCATGGATTTCCTACTTAAGAAGCGCTCAGGACAAGGGGCAGGCTGAGACGGCAAGACCATCAGTTTTCCATCTGCGAGATCGTCCTGCGAAATGGGCAGCCCCAGCTCTTGGCTCAAGTCTTTGACCATGGCGGAGGATGGCAGCAGGCCTCTCGTGATCACCTCCCTGAGCTTGGTGCTGTGATGGCAGATGGAGTAGATCCTGCAAGACAGAGGGCCACCCACATGGCCTCACCTACCTTTCCAAACGTGTTTACCAGTCCCGTTTTCCAAGAGAACGTGCAGATCAGGAGTCGTTTGGCTCATCCCAGCACACAGAACTCAGGGACTCGAAGCTTAGAGTCCACCAGGACGAGCCCACCAAAGAGAATGCCTCCTTTTCACTCTCCTCACAGCCCTCAGAATTAAAGGCTTTCCACAATCCACTCTGATTATTTTTCAGCTACTGTGGCCCACCCCTTGGCCTTGCAGATGCAGATAAAGCCCTGAGGAAGGCCGCTACCTGGAACGCAGCAGACACTTAATAAATAGCAGTTTTCTTCCCTTTCCCTAAGACAGGGCCCAGCATCCCCTCACTGACCGCTGGGGCTCTAGACACCCAAACGCTCCAGCACCTCCCCAGCACGAGCCTGCTGAGGCCCCTGGCACCATCCCCCTTCCTGACTTGCAGCTTTGGCCTGCTGTTTGTGGGGTTCCCAGCCCACACCTGCCTAGCCCCTCAGGTAGCGCTGTGCGGGGAGAGGTGGGAGATAACAGGACTCAGTCCCCTCTCTCCATGGCCCTGGGCGCCCGCCCTTCCCTCTCTCTCCCAACTCCACCCTCTCCTTCATTAATATATTTGATAAGCTGGGAGCGGACTCTCGGCCAGGGTTGTTGCTGGCTTTAAAGCTTAAAGAAATGGTTGGCATCCCCCACCCCTGGCTCCAGTGAGCAGACTGTCCCCTAATGAAGGCCTGCTTGCTGACATTCAAGGCCAGCCCTTCCCAACGTCCTGAAAGAACCAGCCACTGTCCTTCACTGCCCCCACAGAGCCCGGCACAGGCTGGCCATGGTCCCAGGGCTCCCACTGTACTAGGCTTGGCCAGTCTCCATTCCAAACTGGGGGTGCCTCGCTTGGCCCTCCTGCTCCCTACGTGAATGGAGAAGGCCCTCCGGGAGCGTGAGCCATGCTCAGTCCTGCAGAAGGAGCACACGGCTTCGCAGGGTCACAGGCAGAAGGCCTGGGGGAGAAGGGGAAAAGGGGGAGAGGTTCACCAGCCCTGGAATAGAACAGCACAGGTGAAGGCAGGCACAGAGTGGAAGATCTAGATCTTTGGAGGACGCCTTTCTGCACAGGTTAGGGAAGAAGCAACAGAAGCAAACATGCAGCTGGGAGAGGAAACTGTTCTCAGGATCTGGTTCTGGTGCCCATCACTCACTGCTCCGGCTGTTCTAGGCTATTCCCCCAGAACTGCAGAGAGCTTCGTGTGACCTGTGTTCAAGGAGAGGGCCTTCCTTCTCCCAGTGTTTCCGAACCCCCTTGGGAGAACACGTGGTATAGAGGGAATGACGCAGGTTTGGGGTCCCTGGGAACTGAATTCCACTCCTAGGCTCAGCCTCTTTAGGCATAAAGAAAAATAAAAGCTGGGGCGCCTGGGTGGCTCAGTGGGTTAAGGGTCTGACTTCGGCTCAGGTCATGATCTCAAGGTCCTGGTATCGAGTCCCACCTGGGGCTCCCTGCTCAGCGGGGAGCCTGCTTTCTCTCTCTCTCTCTGCCCCTGGCCCCTGGAGGGGTCCCTGCACCACCCTCAGCGGCACCAGCTCCCCGTGGCCACCCCCTCCCCGTGGCCACTCCCTGGGAGGCGGCCTGGCGCACCTGGTCAGGGCCTGGAAGGCCTTCTGCAGAACGCTGTTGCGGACGTAGAGCGCCGAGTGCTTCATGAGCTGCGACAGCGGCTTGAAGAGGTGCACCTGGTACAGGACGGTCTCCAGGTCGGCGTAGAGGCGGTGGCGGAACCGTAGCGCCGAGTTGTAGAGCACCTTGTGTTTGCCCGGCTCTGCCCCGGTGATTCTGCAAGGAGGCCCAGGAGCGGGGCCTTAGCGCCTCTCCGAGGGCTCCCAGAACACTCTGCGGGTTTGCCCTTGGGCAGAACTTGTTTCGGAATGCGTTAACAATAAATCATCTGAAAAACACCTGCTGCAACATCTGATAGACGATCTTTTCCAAACCCTGGCAGTGAAAATGCAGAACCCTACTTCATTTTCCTCTTGTCCCGCCGCCGCTCCCATTCACACACTTGGCTGGCCGGCATTCCCAGCCTGGCAGAGGTGCTAAACACAACACAACACAACACAACACAACACAACACGCCACGCCACGCCACGCCACGCCACGCCACGCCACGCCACGCCACGCCCCCCCCGCCCCGCCCCGCCCCGCCCCGCCCCTGGGTTGGTACAGGCCGCTCCTGCACCTCGGGGAAACTGAGGGAAGGCAGCACGGACCCCGCCTATCCCTTCGGTGAATGGGTGTTTGGTCATAGGGTTTTCCCCTTTGGCAAAGTACCTGTCCGAGCATTTTGCCCACTCTTCCCTTGGCCTGTTTTCATTTTTTTTTTTTTAAGATTTTATTTATTTATTTGACAGACAGATCACAAGTAGGCAGAGAGGCAGGCAGAGAGAGGAGGAAGCAGGCTCCCCGCTGAGCAGAGAGCCCAACACGGGGCTGGATCCCAGGACCCTGGGATCATGACCTGAGCCGAAGGCAGAGGCTTTAACCCACTGAGCCACCCAGGTGCCCCTTGTTTTCATTTTCTTATTGATTCATGGAGTTTTTTTTACATATTCAGGATACTAACTCCATACATGGCAAATAATTTTTTTCTGAGTCTTTCTTTTCACAATTTTTATGATACCTTTGGACAAACAGAAGTGATTCACTTTCATGTAGCCGGATCCAGCATCATTTTCCTTTATTCTGTGTACTTCTGTCTTGTTCAAGAAATCTTTCTTTATCCTAATCATCTGAAAGCTTTAGCGTTTTCGCTATTCAAAAACAGATTTTTCTTTTCTGGTGAACTCTGAATAAGACGAGGTAATTGTGGTCTAGCTGACTGTACTGTGTCCATCAATAAGGCATTCTACTTTTGTCAGATGTCCCGGTTGGAGGAAATTAGGTACTGGGTGCATGGAACAATTCTATATTATTTTTGCAACTGATCGTGAGTCTGTAACTATTCCAAGTGGGTTTTAATCTACCTGGAATTGATTTCTGTGAATTGTGTGAGCCACTGAATTAGAAAACTCAGTAAATTAGGAACAGAGTGGAACTTCCTTAAATCGATAAAGGACATCTACAAAAAACCTATACCTAACATCATATTTATAATGGGGAAAGTCCCCTCCATCACACGAAGGAAATACAGATTGGACAGGAAGACACTGAGGATGACACAAACAAATGGAAAGACATTCCATGCTCATGGATTAGAAAAGCAAATATTAAAATGTCTATACTTCCCAAAGCAATCCATATCAAAATACCATTAGCATTTTTCACAGAGCTAGAACAAACAATCCTAAAATGTGTATGTAACCAGAAAAGGCCCTGAATAGCCAAAGCAATCTGAAAAGGAAAAACAAACCCAGAGGTATAACAATTCCAGATTTCAAGTTATACGACAGAGCTGTAGTAATCAAAACGGTATGGCAGTGGCATAAACACAGACACATAGCTCGATGGAACACAATAAAGAGCCCAGAAATAAACCTATTATTATATATCAATTAGTGCATGATAAAGGAGGCAAGAATATTCAATAGGAAAACAGTTTCTTCAACAAATGGCGCAGGACAGCTCCAGGCAAAGAATGAAACTGAACCACTTTCTTACAACAAACACAAACTCAAATGGATTAAAGACCTAAATAAAACCATAAAACTCCTAGAAGAAAATGCAGGCAATAAGCTCTTTGACATTGGCCTAAGTAATATATTTTTGGTTATGTCTCCTTAGGCAAGGGCGACAAAAGCAAAACTAAACAAATGGAACTACATCAAACCAGAAAGCTTTTGCACAGTGAGGGAAACCAACAAAATGAAAAGACAAACTGTGGAATGGGGAAAGCTACTTGCAAACAATATATCCAATAAGGGATTGATATCCAAAATACATAAAGAACTCATTTGACTCAATAACAACAAAAACCCAACTGAAAATGGGCAGGACAGCTAAATAGAAGATAATTCAGATGGCCAATGCACACAATGAGGAAACTGCAACATCCCTGAACATCAGGGAAATGCGAATCACAGCCACAATGGGATACCACCTCACACCTGTCAAATGACTATGATCAAAAACACAAGAGATGACAAGTGTTGGTGATGGAGGATGTGGGGAAAAGGGAACCCCCATGCCCTGTGGTTGGAAAAGCAAACTGGTGCAGCCACTGTTGAAAAAAGTATGGAGATTTCTCAAAATTTAAAAACGGAATGACCATACCATCCAGCAAATCCATGACTGGGTATTCAGCCAAAAGAAAATGAAAACACTCATTCAAAAAGATACATGCACCACTATGTCCATTATTTGCAATAGTCAGGATATAGAAGCAACCTCCGTGTCCGTCAACAGGTGAATGGATAAAGATGTGGACTGTGTGTTTGAGTGTGTAATGGAATATTACTCAGCCATATAAAAGAATGAGATCTTGTCATCTGCAACAACATAAATGTAAGTAAAGGGTATTATGCTCATTGAAGTAAGTCAGACAGGGCAAGACAGATACTGTATGATTTCTCTTATATGTGAAATTTAAAAACTAGAACAATAGAACAAACAAAACAAACCATTCCATGGGCACAGAGATCAAACTTGTAGTTGCTGGGGCTGGGAGTTGCGGGGGTAGGCATGGGTGACACAGGTGATGGGGATTAAGAGGTACAAACTCTCAGTTTTAAAATAAAAAAGTCACAGGGATGTCATGTGCAGCATAGGGAACAGAGTCAATCATATAATAACTTCATAGAGAGAGACATAGTAACTAGATCTACCATGCTGATCATTTTGCAATGTATAAAAATATCAAATCACTGTCTTACACACCTGAAACTAATATTGTAGGTCAACTATAATTCACTTAAGAAGAAAACATGTCCACACAAAAACCTGTATGTTATTGCTCACAGCAGCTTCATCTGTAATAGTCAAAAACTGGAAATAAACAACATGTTCCTCAACAGATGGATAGTGAAACTGTGTCACATCTGTTCCATGAAATATGACCCAGCAACAAAGAGGAGCAAACTACGGATATATGCAAAAATGTGAATGGCTCTCCAGCACTGAGTGGATACTGAGTGGAAACTCCTAAGGTCATATAATAGGATTCCATTAATATGTAAGATTACATACAGATGAAAAAATTAAGGGGGTACCTGGGTGACTCAGTCATTAACTGTCTTCAGCTCAGGTCATGATCCCAGGGTCCTGGGGTCAAGTCCCATGTCAGGCTCCCTGCTCAGTGGGAAGCCTGTTTCTCCCTCTCCCATTCCTCCTGCTTGTGTTCCCTCTCTCACGGTGTCTCTGTCATGTAAATAAATAAAATTTTTAAAAAAATGAAGGAGATGGAAAACAGGATAGTTAAAGAGGGTGGGCATGACTATAAACACACAGCATGAGGGAGCTCTCGGTAACAATATGCTAGTTCGATGTCTTCATTATAGCTGTGGTCACACAAATCTGTATGTATAAACTGACACAAACAACACACGTACTGACATTGGCATCCTGGCTTAGATATCTGCACCACAGTTAAGCAAGATGTGACCGTTGTGGGGAAAGGGTATGTGGGAATCTCTGGAATATTCATTAAACTTCCTATGAATCTATAACTATTTCAAAAGTTGAAAATGTACTCAGATTTTTAATGCAGCAAGAATTGATTTCTGTGAATGGTTTGAGGTTTGGAAGTTATTTTCCTTTTATCTTATGGATAAACAATTATCCCAACACCGTTTTTTTTTTAAAGTTTCTCCTTTCCTCAACAGATTTTTTTGTTTGTTTGCTAGAGGTATTTTTCTTCTTCTTCTTCTTCTTTTTTAAAAGATTTTATTTATTTGACAGAGAGAGACACAGAGAGAGAGGAAATACAAGCAGGGGGAGTGGGAGAGGGAGAAGCAGGCTTCCCGCCAAGCGAGCAGAGAGCCTGATATGGGGCTCGATCCCAGGACGCTGGGACCATGATCTGAGCCGAAAGCAGAGGCTTAACCCACTGAGCCACCCAGGTGCCCCAGCTAGAGGTATTTTTCAAATGAGATTTTTTTTTTAAAAAGATCTTATTTATTTATTTGACAGACAGAGATCACAAGTAGGCAGAGAGGCAGGCAGAGAGAGAGGAGGAAGCAGGCTCCCTGCTGAGCAGAGAGCCCAATGCAGGACTCGATCCCAGGACAAAGGAATCATGACCTGAGCTGAAGGCAGAGGCTTTAACCCACTGAGTCACCCAGGCGCCCCTCAAATGAGATTTAATTCAGATGCCATAATGTGTATAATTCAATCATTTTTAGTCTATTCATAGATACACGCAATCATCATCACAATTTTCAAGCTTTCTTATCACCTAAAAAAGAAACCTGTACCCATCTATACCCCCATCTATACTCTCATCCCTTGACCCACAACCCTAAGTATTTACTAATCCTCTGTCTCTATAGGTTTGCTTATTTTTAAAATTTCATATAAAGGACTCATCCAATATGTGGCCTTTTGTGACTGTCTCTTTTCACTTCACTTACTATAGTGTGAGTCAGTATTTCATTCCTTTTATGTCCAAATAACAGCTCATTGTATTTATATGTCACATTTTGTTTAGCCATTCATCAATTAATAAACATTTGGGTTGTTTCCACCTAATGGCTATCAGAGTGCTCTTATAAACAGTTATATACTGTCCAGTGTGGACATGTGTTCTCATTTATCTTGGGCATTTACCTAGGAGGGGGACAGCTGGGTCATACAGTATCTCTTTTTAGCCATTTGAGGAACTGCCAGACTGTTTTCCAAAGTGACTCTACCATCTAATTCATTACCAGCAGTGAATGACAATTCTGAGCTCTCCACATTCTTGTCAACACTTGCTATTATCGGACATGTTTAATTCCAGCCAAACTGGCCAGTGTGAAGTGGTATCACATTATCTAAATTCACCCTTTTCATGTGTACAATTCAATGGTTTTAATATAGCCATTTGCTGCTGATCTTCCAATGCCACACATCTTATGTCAAGTGACTGCTGGCATGGAGGTCTGTATTTGGACTTTCTATTATATTTCATATGTTTGCTTGTCTATCACTGTTCCAATAAACTCTCTTAATCACTATGGCTTTATAAGGAGGCTTGACATTTAGTAGAACAAGTTCTCCCATCTTGTTCTTGTTCTTATACACACGATGATGTAAATTTTTAAATCAGGTTCTCAAGCTCCATACTTTTAAAATTGGGATCGCTTTGAATTTATACATCTGGCTTGTAGATAACTGACACCTCTATAATACTGAGTGTTCCAATCCATGAACATGGTAGTCTCTTCACTTGTTTAGGTTTTCTTTAATGTTTCTAAAAATCCTATAATATTCATGATAGAGATGTTCTACTCCTTTTTGTTGAATTTATTCATGTGAATTTCATATTTTTACAATACTTTAAAAGCATTCACTTTTTAAATGATTTTTGTATATAGACGGTATTCAGAAATTCAATAGATTTTTACATTAATGTTTGTATCCAGAAACCTCATTAAACTATCTTATCTGAAAATATTTTTTATATTATCTTTGCAATTTTTTATACATATTTAAATTTTTTGACACGGTTTACAACACTTATTTAAATTACTGCAACATCTATCATTATTTTTCAGCCTTTCTTCTTTTCTAATATAAGCATTTGAGTCTATAAAGTTTCCTCTAACACTAACATCACTCCACAAATTTAGATACTATACTATTTTCATTATTGATCAATTCAATAATGTCTAATTTCTATTTGTTTCTCTTTTGGTTATTTGGAAGTATTTGTTAATTTCCAAGCATGTGAATTTTTTTCCTGATTAATGATCTTTTATTTGTAGCTTCACTGAACTGGGGTCCATGAGCATATTTTATATTATTTCTTCTTCTGGGACAAAATTGTTCATTGAGATACATACCATATCCCCGACTTAGCCAAACTGCAAAGTCTAAGGTCATAGTTTCTCAAACTGCCCTGACTTCTGATACCAACTGAAGTTAAGGTGTTCCTTTTTTTTTTTTTAAGATTTTATTTATTTATTTGACAGACAGAAATCACAAATAGGCAGAAAGGCAGGCAGAGAGAGAGGGGGAAGGAGGCTCCCCACTGAGCAGAGACCCCCGATGCGGGGCTCGATCCGATCATGACCTGAGCCAAAGGCAGAGGCCTTATCCCACTGAGCCACTCAGGTACCCCAGTTCAAGGGGTTCCTAATACCACCCTCAGGCTCAACAATTTGCTACAAGAACTCACGGAATTCACTGAAAGCTGTTACACTCACACTCACAGCTTATTACAGGGAAAGGATGCAGATTAAAATCAGCCAGAGGAAGAGACACATAGGGCAGAGTTCAGAATGGTTCTAAACACCAAGTTCCCACTTTCCTCATGGAACCAGGATGTGTTGCCCTTTTGACATTGCTGAGGAACAATACGCACATAGAAGTTCCCCTGAGCCTTGGTATGTAGAGTTCTTATTTGGGCTCCATTACAGAGGCATGATTGATTACTTGCTTGATTGCTCACATGGCAAGCTCAGTCTCCAGATCAACTGACATGACAAGACCAAAGCCCTAACCCTAAATCACACATTAACAGAATCATACAACAAGTGGCCTTTTATGTCTGGCTTCTTTTACTCAGTACGTTTTCAAGGTTCATCCATGTTGAAGTGTGTATATCAGTACTTCATTCCTTTTTCATGGCTGAATATTATTCTGTTTTATGGATATATCACATTTTGTTCATTGGTTGAGGGACATTTGAGTTGTTTCCACTTTTTTTTTTTTAACGATTTTATTTATTCATTTGACAGAGATCACAAGGAGGCAGAGAGGCAGGCAGAGAGAGGGGGGGAAGCAGGGTCCCTCCTGAGCAGAGAACCCAATGTGGGACTCGATCCCAGGACCCTGAGATCACAACCTGAGCTAAAGGCAGACGCTTTAACCCACTGAGCCACCCAGGTGCCCGCTTCCACTTTTTTGACTATTATAAATAATGCTGCCATGAACATCCACATACAAGTTTTTTGTGTGGACCTGTTTTCAGTTCTCTTGGGCGGATAACTAGACACAATGCCAGCTCCTCCACAGCACCTCTTGGCTTACCAACACATCAAGACAGGGCCACACAGGGCTGCTCTCCTGTCCTGGATGAATACAACTCAACCTCAGGACTACTTGCTGTTGTCAGCATCTAGGTTCTAGGGCATCTGAACTCCGAAGACAGAGAGGGGGAGTTTCCAAACTAAAAAAGGGAGGTACTGGGGCACCTGGTTGTTCAGTGGGTTAAGTGTCCGACCAGCTCAGGTCATGATCTCAGGGTCCTGGGACTGAGCCCCATGTTGGGGCTTAGCAAGGAGTCTGTTTCTCCCTCTCCCTCTGCTCCTCGCCCACCAAGCTCTTTCTCTCTCTCTCGAATAAATAAAATCTAAAAAATAAAAATAAAGAAAAGAGGCCCTTTAAGCCCAAACTAGGATACTTGCAAATAACAAAAGGAAAAGAGAATTGTCATGAAGACAAAACTGAAGAACGGAAGGACCATAAGGGGCCACCTGCTCCATCCCAGAATCTAAAAGTTTGATTGCCTCTACAATATCTCCACTGAGGAGTAATTAGGTATTCCTGAAGGTCATCAGGGAAGGAGAACTTTTTGCAGCCTAGGCAGCTTCTCCAGCCTCAAAATAGTCAGATAGGTCTTCCTTAGACTGAGTGGAAATCTACTTCTCTGTGGTGTCCATCTTAGGGCCATATAGAATTTTCTTCTCCTTGTTAGCCAAGTAGCCCCTCAGAAGTCTGAAGGGAGGGCCCATTTTCCTGAACCACCCTTTCTGCTGTGTGGCCCTAGTCTTCCCTTCATCCAAAGGCAAGAAATTCTGCCTGTGATCAAGGCCAATAATGGAGTCCTGTGAAGTGTTCTATGATAAACCCCAAAAGGAACTGAATCAACATGTCCTTCTTACAGATGAGGACACTAAACATGAGCCTGGCTTCGAAAGATTTCCCCCTACCAAAAAAATAATAAAAGATTTCCCCACTCCACTCACTCAGCATCCAGACATCATGACTTTTACATGAAACACAGACACCAAAAAAACACCCACCTACCGGCTTTGATGGCTGTCCCATAGCTGCTTCAAGCCTTGGTCAGCCAAGCCCTCCAGAATGAGAAGGTGGAGCTTCCCATCCAGCAGGTGGAAGCCAGTGAGCACATCCAGGTCCTGCCTTTCCTGGATCTTCACCCGCATCTTAAAGGCTGAGAGGATTTGTTGGATGTTCCTGATAGGGTGGGCCTCCAGATCAAGGGCCTTGGCATTGATCATGGTGATGTCCTGCAGCAGGCCATAGAGGAGGGAGATCTTCTTGGAGTCAAACACGAAAATGATGCGGCCAAACTGGGTACCTGAAAGCTCTGGGTCAGGGGCTTCAGCCCTGGCCTGCAGCGGCACAGCGATGTCCACCCGCATCTTGAGCAGAGAGTTGGCCTCAAGGTAGTTACCCATAGGCATTGGCTTGCGCTGGAAGCCATCTGTGGGGACCCGAAACCCCACAACTTTCCTGCTCTTGCCATCCTGGCCATGGTGTTTGGGCTTGTGTTCACAGCTGTGGATGGGGACGACCAAGTTCAAGTACTTCTGGCCTAGGAGAAGGTCTGCAAAACTGACCTGGGCAATCCCATAAGGGTCCCATATCTTGTTATGGGATTCAAAGGGGTTGCTCTCTGTCTCTTCTGGAGAGATGAGGGACTGGAGATTGAGGTATGCGTCCAAGGGGTCATCCCCAAACAGGGTGGGCTTCCGGGAATACTCCTCTAACTTGCGGTCCCTGTCATGAACTTGCACCACCATGGGGGGGCCCTCCAGGTATTCCCTCAGGTCACTGGGCTGCATTGCCCCAAGAAAGATGACATTGATGTCCTGGAAATGGATGTGGATTGCATGGGGCCGCCCCTCCGTTCTGTGAACCGGAGTCTTAAAGAACTGGTACTTGCAGTACACAGGGAGGCACAGCCTCTAGGAGAGAATGAGGTGACAACAGATCACTAGGCTGTAGTGGCAGTCACTCTGCCTCCCCTTTAAAGGCAGGCTCCCACAGGGGGCTCAAATCCTAGAGCCACATTGGCCCCCTGCAGTCCCTGTGACCTGGATTTCCTCATCCACAAAATACCAAGGAAAGAGCCAGCTCTCCAAGGTCATCCCCAGGATTAAGTGACATACATGAAAGCACCAAGATGGTGGCTGACACAAGATAGGGCTTAATAAGTATTAAGTCACTATTTCCTCCTCCCAAACTGAGTGCCATGTAGACAGGACATGTGCATTTTGCACAGCTGTATTTTTACTTCCAAGCCCAAGGCTAGGTGCAGAAAAGGTGGAGATAAGTGGTTTTTAGAAAAGGTAATCCATATTTCCTAGACATCTTGGAGGGTTGGTATGGGCTCACCTTTGGCATATTAACAGGTATCCAAGCAGAAAGTTACCACAAGGTGAAGAAGGGCTCAGAGGTGTGGGGTTTAAGAGGGCATGGAAAATAAGGTGGAAAGGAGTGACAGAAAACTGGGTATCTTGCATATTTTAACCTTGACGCTACGACTTTTTAAATCAAAAGTTAACCCTTATGAAAGTTTGTGATCTGACTTCATACTCCAAGTGTACTATTTATTTTACACTGAAACCCTTAAATAATCCTGGGTTGGTATGCTCCCAGGTACCTCGTAGAAGTTCTCAAAAAACCTTCTACAGAAATCCACTTTCAACCTAGGCTTCAAAGAATCCTCATGGAGAAAGTTCAATTAAATGTGAAACCACAGTAAAAATTACAAAATTCCTAAGTAAAAGGTACTTCTAGCAAAATTGGTTGCACAAAGCCATAAGATATTAGAGTGACAAGAAACATAAACTAAATATATTTGTTTGGTTATATATATAAAAAGGAATATAATAAGGTCAAATCTATTTTATTTCTATTTTCTAACAATGAATAATTTTAAAATATCACCTATAATAGCATAGAAACATAAAATGCTTGAAAGAAATGCAATGAAAAATGTGTAAGACCTTACACTGAAAAGAACAAAATAGTGCAGAGAGAAATTAAAGAAAATCTAAATAGAGAAATATACAATCTTCATGGATAGGAAAATGCAATTAAGATTTCTTTGACAAGACACAAAAAAACACTAATCATAACAGCCAAAGTTGATAACATGGACTTTATCAAATAAAGTTAAGCCATAGACTGGCATAAAACATGTGTAATACATATCTATATGTCTATATATAGATATAAATATAGGTATAGATATAGATATAGATAGTGTATACCTATATATATATAATGAAGGACTTGTACACAGGATATAAAAAGAACATATATAAAATAGTAAAAGAGAAAAAATTAAAAATATTAGAAGATGAACTTTAAAATTTGGTTAAGTGGAGTAAGCACACCCCACCCTCCATCTCCTAGTGAATGTATCCAGAAACCATAGACAGAATGCATGGAGCAGCTGTCAGAGGCATCTGAAAAGTAAGAGGTAATGGGAAATTGGGAATGGAAACCAAACGCAAAGTACAACCAACACAGCTATGAGTTTACTAGGTTTATTTTCCTCTTGTATGTCGCAGACTGGACTCAAAAGGAAGCCTGAATCCCAGAATTGTGCACCAGACACAGAAAGAGCTCTAAGAGAAGCCCTCTCTTTCTGTTCCAAGGAGTGGGAGGAAGGACCCCTCATAGGATACAAAGAGCGGGAGTTTGGAGGGATCCACTGTTGTTTTTCTCTCTTGGCCCTGTCCTCATGCAAGTTCAAGCTCCAAAGCTACAATCTGATGGTGGCAGCAGCTGGGCAGGCACCTAAAAATCTGAGACATGGAAATCCTTTTCACCCAGAGGAATTGTGATACAAAAAGTATGTGGTAAACCCTCAATATTGTTTTCACTCTACATTATCTTCCCACCATCTGTCCTCAGAGGCAGACTGAGTCCCAGAAAGGGCATGTCAGAGTGGAAACACTAAAGGTACACCTTTCAAGCCAGCAGACCAGGAAAAGGACTCCTTAGGATCTGGGGAGTGTAGAAAGGGGGGAAATCAAAAAAGGGATTCCATAAAGTTATGTGTAAACTTGAGCTTATCTCTCAACTGTGCATGTGTGGATCTGGCCTTAAGCAACATACCAGGGGTTTCGAGAACTGAACTACAGAGACCATGGCACAGGCCTGACTGGTGCCTTAGTACTGCACATGCAGGACAGGCTTGAATATCACTATAAAATCTTTGAAAACTGAACTGGCCTTAAAACCACAGCCACAAACAAAACTAGGAGATGGTTCTTTGAAAGAATTAAGAAGATTGATAACCCCCTGGCCAGACCTATCAAAAAGAAAAGAGAAAGGACGCAAATTAATAAAATCATGAATAAAAGAGGAGAGATCACAACCAACACCAAAGAAATACAAACAATTAAAGAATATATTATGAGCAACTATATGTTGGCAAATTTGACAATCTGGAAGAAATGGATACATTCCTAGCATATAAACTACCAAAACTGAACCAGAAAGAAATAGGAAACCTGAACAGACCCATAACCAGTAAGGAGATTGAAAGTCATCAAAAATCTCCCAACAAACAAGAGCCCAGGGCCATATGGCTTCCCAGGGGAATTCCCCCCAAACATTTAAAGAAGAATTAATACCTACTCTCCTGAAACTGTTCAAAAAAATAGAAATGGAAGGAAAATTTCCAAACTCATTTTATGAGGCCAGCATTAGCTGGATCCCAAAACCAGACAAAGACCCCATCAAAAGGAGAATTACAGACCAATATCCTTGATGAAAACAGATGCAATAATTCTCACCAAAATCCTAGCCAATAGGATCCAACAGTGCATTAAAAGGATTATTCACCACAACCAAGTGGGATTTATTCCTGGGCTGCAAGTTTGGTTCAACATCCGCAAATCAATCAATGTGATAAATACATTAATAAAAGAAAGAACAAGGACCGTATGATCCTCTCAATAGATGCTGAAAAAGCATTTGACAAAGTACATCATCCTTTCTTGATCAAAACTCTTCACAGTGTAGGCATAGGGGGTACATACCACAATATCATCAAAGCCATCTATGAAAAACCCACAACGGCTATCATTCTCAATGGAGAAAAAAACGAGAGCTTTTCCCCTAAGGTCAGGAACACAGCAGGGATGTCCATTATCACCACTGCTATTCCACATAGTACTAGAAGTCCTAGTCTCAGCAATCAGACAACAAAAAGAAATAAAAGGCATCCAAATCAGCAAAGACAAAGTCAAACTCTCACTCTTTGCAGATGATATGATACTTTATGTGGAAAACCCCAAAGACTCCACTCCAAAACTGCTAGAATTCATACAGGAATTCAGTAAAGTGTCAGGACATAAAATCAATGCACAGAAATCAGTTGTATTTCTGTATACCAGCAGCAAGACAGAAGAAAAAGAAATTAAGGAGTTGATCCCATTTACAATTGCACCCAAAACCATAACATACCTGGGAATAAACCTAACCAAAGAGGCAAAGAATCTGTACTCAGAAAACTATAAAGTGCTCATGAAAGAAATGGAGGAAGACACAAAGAAATGGAAAAACGCTTCATGCTCATGGATTGGAAGAATAAATATTGTGAAAATCTCTATGTTACCTAAAGCAATCTACATATTTAATGCAATCCCTATCAAAATACCATCAATTTTTTTCAAAGAAATGGGACAAATAATCCTAAAATTGGTATGGAACCAGAAAAGACCCCAAATAGCCAGAGGAATGTTGAAAAAGAAAGCCAAAGTTGGTGGTATCACAATTCCAGACTTCAAGCTCTATTACAAAGCTGTAATAATCAAGACAGTATGGTACTGTCACAAAAACAGACACATAGATCAATGGAACAGAATAGAGAGCCCAGAAATAGACCCTCAACTCTATGGTCAACTGATCTTTGACAAAGCAGGAAAGAACATCCAATGGAAAAAAGACAGTCTCTTCAGCAAATGGTGTTGGGAAAACTGGACAGCCACATGCTGAAAAATGAAACTGGACCATTTCCTTACACCACACACAAAGATAGAGTCAAATAGATGAAAGATCTCAATGTGAGACAGGAATCCGTCAAAATCCTTGAGGAGAACACAGGCAGCAACCTCTCTGACCTCACCTGCAGCAACTTCTTCCTAGAAATATCGCCAAAGACAAGGGAAGCAAGGGCAAAAATGAACTATTGGGACTTCATCAAGATCAAAAGCTTTTGCACAGCAAAGGAAACAGTTAACAAAACCAAAGGACAACTGACAGAATGGGAGAAGATATTCACAAATGACATAACAGATAAAGGGCTAGTATCCAAAATCTATAAAGATCTATAAAGAATTTATTACACTCAACACCCAAAGAACAAATAATCCAATCAAGAAATGGGCAGAGGACATGAACAGACATTTCTGCAAAGAAGACAACCAGATGGCCAACAGACACATGAAAAAGTGCTCCACATAACTAGGCATCAGGGAAATACAAATCAAAAACCACAATGAGATACCACCTCACACCAGTCAGAATGGCTAAAATTAACAAGTCTGGAAATGACAGATGCTGGCGAGGATGTGGAGAAAGGGGAACCCTCCTACACTGTTGGTGGGAATGCAAGCTGGTATAGCCACTCTGGAAAACAGCATGGAGGTTGCTCAAAAAGTTGAAAATACAGCTACCCTATGACCCAGCAATCACACTACTGGGTATTTACCCTAAAAATACAAACATAGTGATCCAAAGGGGCACATGCACCCAAATGTTTATAGCAGCAATGTCCACAATAGCCAAACTATGGAAAGAACCTAGATGTCCATCAACAGATGAATGGATAAAGAAGATGTGGTATATATATACAATGGAATACTAGGCAGCCATCAAAAGAAATGAAATATTGCCATTTGCAACAACATGGATGGAACTAAAGGGTATTATGCTGACCAAATTA